CACTGGTGCTACTGAAGGCAACCAACAGATGTGGAATACAGGTCTGTGGGTGTAAGGGAGTTGTTCCTGCCTGCACTGACTGCACTAGGTGGAAACAAGCTTGTTGCATATTTTCCTATAGTGCTTCAGGAGAGAGGCTTGTGACCTAGAAGTCACAGGGAGCTATCAGGAGCTCTTGGGACAGAGGTGAGTGTCACCCAGCACAGAGGGATTAGTTGGACTGGTGAAGGTTAAAAGGCACAAACACATTTACACAAGTCTTCTTACAAAATGTGCCACATTTCTAATTCAGAATTTAAAAAGTGTTCAAAGGTGCTCCTCAGATGTCTTCGTTTGTATGACAGTAAAACTGTTTAAAACAACAATAAGAAAGAATGGGAATTGGTCCCATTTAATTTGACAAAACATTATGGGCTCTGTGTTTACTGTGAGAGAGAACAGACATTTCAGAGAAGGTTGTTTTTCATACATACATTACTTAAAAGGAATGGCAGTGAATTTCTCATTGCACAAGCTACCACACAAATGTGTATATGCACAAAAAGGTAGTACAAACTCAAACTTATGAAAATGAGATTGCTCTTTCTTAAACTAATTTGTATATGATTCAACAGAGCACCCTTCTTTACATAATGCCACACGCTGGTTATCACTGGACAGTGTCACCACTGTCTGGACAAGAATGAAGTCAGTTACCTTTTGCTAAAGTGACTTTGTAATGGACCTAATTATTTTCTCTTTATGTCATTTTTCACTGAATGTGACATCATCACTGAGATTTTCAAGAAATCTTGCATCAGTTGGAAAGTTTCAAAACTTCACAGGTGGGAGAACAGAAACAATGACATGATAGTTTCGACAAGGCTCAAGAGGAAGGAAAGGCATCCGGGAGGCACTCCTGTGGTGCTATTTACACACTGCCTCAATTCCTCTCTTGGCAATTATTTTGGCGTAGACAGTGTAGGTGATAAATGTGCAGGTTTAGGTGACTATAGTGGTGCTTTTTAATCTATATTTCTGTATGTCTTTGAATTGCCTCCTCACTTTTGTGTGACAATGCTTACACACACACACACACAAGGATGGAAAAGTACTCTTCCCCTCTCCCACAAAACCACTCAGTGCAATGATTACCTGCCTTGCCACTCAGGGGCCATTTTCTGTTACCACAAAGCTGATTATCTCACCCCTACAGCAGGCTGTTTGCGGCTTTGCGATTTTCTCCCAAATGCCCACACTGCTATTTGTAGAAATGTTACCTAGCTGGCACAGGCAAAAATATGCTTGTATTTGTGTGGATGTTTGTGTCTGGGTGAGTGTTTGCGGCGGTGCCTGGCTCTGTGTGTGTGTTTGGTGGGTGGGTGGGTGTTTGTGTGGAATGGAAAGACTGTAAAAATGGAGGGATGGATGACACAAACAGGGCAGAGTGGTGGGAGGCTGGTGTCAGGGCCCTACTCCCACTACCAGGCTGGATGCAGTATCTGACAGCTGACTGAGATTCTGCACAGCCCCACCAAAAGGTCAGCACTTCAATCAGCTCCACTCTCTGGATGCCTCTCTTACCACCGCAGAGCCTCCATTCGCCCCCTTGATGCACACTTAACAGTGCTTGACCATATTTCACAGGTGAAAATGTAGTTTTCACATACAAGAAAGCTGTGTATCTCTACCACGTGTCATCCACAATATATTAAAGTTGTAAGGCAGATGATTATGCATGCTGGATGATGTGTGTAAGTTTGGTACACTTTTAATTTTGGTGTGTGGTAAATTGCCATTCCTGAAGTCAAAGCTGGCTCATCGATCAAAAGCATTTACATTTTCCGAAATTTTAATTTCTTCCCAGTTCCTTCCCAGGTCTCTAATTTGCCTTCATGCATCAGACACTCCCAATATCCTATCACCCATCAGTGGAAAATATTTTCTCTGTAGATGATCAATAAATTACAATTCACATAATATTTAATATGGTGAAACTGAATGCAGGGTTATAAGGACTTTGGACCATTGCAAGGGCTGTTTTTTTCCTGCTAACTTATCAAATTACAACTTTACTTCTAGTGAATGAGCAATCTGATGTGTGATCAAGTCTTTGGTTTGTTATACTATATATCTTGATATGATTTTTGCAGTCACAGTGCCTGTTTAAAAATCAGATTCCTCTCCCATAATGCATCATCTGTCACTCCCTCCTTCTACACAATTTTCTTTTTCCATAGTCGTGTCGGATAAATTAACAGGTCTCTCAGTGCTGCACGAATTATCATTAACATGAGGAGTGAATGGCATGTGTGTCCCATGATTCCCTGAGGCTACTAAGAGCACTGATATAAAAGAGATGAAGAGGGTGTTGGTTTGAGTATTCACCGAGTCTCTCATCTAATGAGAGTACAGTCAGTCCATATGAAGATCCATACAGCTGGTGACTAAGCCTGTATCAAGACACTCTGAAAGCATATAAGAAAATATCACGCTGTCTCGGCCAGTGTGTGTCATGTTGGAACCTCTGCCGGTGGATAAAGAAAATGCAGTGTCATAGGCTTTATGATTCATTTTATTGCTCACTACTTGACTGCATCTTAATTTTTATTGTACTTTGTTCTGTTTGTTACTGTGAAGCAACCATTTTCATCAATTCATCTTTTTTTAAGTTAATTAAACACCTAGTCTATAAAATGTCAGAACATAGTGACATTACCAGTGAGAACTTTGGTTCTATTATTATGTGATGGGAATTTTACAAATGTGTCTGTGCCTATGTATGTGTATATATATATATATATAGAGAGAGAGAGAGAAAGAGAGAGAGAGAGAGAGAGAGAGAGAGAGAGAGAGAAGGTGAATATTCAAATAATATTCAAATTTAAAATATTCAGCAGTTCACTGTAAATCTAAGTTTCAGCTGTAATGTCTGATGATCTATCTAAAAACCAGATATTGATTTTATAGCCATAAAACATGGACAAACACCAAATGATCAATAAATGGTTGAAACATCAAACCGATTACCATAATTGTTGATTCGTTTTCAGTTGAGCTTCCACATTAGACCACCACGAACTGTTTATAGTGACATGAGACATGTGTGGTTGAAACTCAAATCACGCAGAATACATGGCTCTACTATCATTTTAGAAATGACATCACACTAAATATGATGACTCACATGGGCTGGTCTTTATTCCTGCCTTGGCTGACTCAGTAAATATAGCCCATTGAGACCTCATAAAGCTGGGAGAAGGTTTGTGTTAGAGCGCCATTAAAACATGACAACCTGAACTGTCATAATGTATATCATGTTGTTCCTGTGTCCTGCGTGCAGGAGACAGACAGGGACTTATTGTCACAGGTCTCATCAGCTCTGAAACACCAAGAAGTGGCTCTTGAATAAGGACTCTCACTGGATACTCATCACCCTTTTTCAATGTACTGCATTACAGCACTTAAGCACTGCAGGTCAGACATCTCACTTATGAGACATTTACTTCATGCCTGAGAAACAGGAGAATGTAACAACTTGAAAATGCGGCAAATCAAAAATACTGCTCACTCAATTACAGAATCTTCTTTTCCTGAAAGGATGGGACATACCAAAATCTTTTTGAGGCACAACTCCACATAAACTGAGGACACAGAATGCACATGGAAAGCACATGGTCATTCTCTGCTTTGCCTTTCGATGAGAGTGGTACAAAAATATGCAGCAGAAGAGAGAATGTTCAACATCCCCCATCATAAATCTGAATTAAAGAAGTGGTGGTTTTGACATGAACGTTTCATCTTGTCTGTCTGAAGTGTTACATGCCTCCAGGCCCTGAGGCTGGCTGATGAGAGAA